ACCTTCAGGGGGCGTTCTCACGACGCCCAACTCCGGTGGAGGTGCCCTACTTTTCTCCATTGCTGTGAACTGCGGAGTTGGGCACCTGCCAGCACTGAGGCGGCAGTTACATAAGAGCTGCTTTTTTTCCTGGAATTTAGGCTCACTGCTGATGTGTGACCTTCACCAGTAATTGCCAATAAGTGCAGCAGGCTGTTTACTGTTCGGCTCTGGCAACCGCAGAGGGGGCTCAGCTCCGGGCACACAGAAGCTACTGCGGCGTCTGCCGAGGCTGCTGCTCTGCTGGTTTGAGAGTGCTCCATGGCGACCAGAGTTGTATAATTCATTCAAGTCCTGTGGCAATTTTTAAGCAACAAAGGATGTTATTGAGTGTTGATGAACGCGTTCCCTAAGATATAGGTAAAACGACGTTGTTGGGAACAGAGTAATTTTTTATGTATTTTTGTTTCTAAAACCAAATAGCATTTAAAGAGAATTATGTGAGGAGTTGTGAAGATTTGAAATTGTTCTCCTAAATGCTAGATAGCTTCTATTTTGGGTTCAATTTTCTTTAAAGCTTTCTGCTCACTTAATGAAGGGTTTTCAAAGGCTGGTGAAGGGCAGGGCTGGGCCCAGCAAACCTACTTGCAAGCTCATTCAGTGCTGTTTTTGTTTCCCTCCTCGGAGGCTGTGAGTGGGTAAAAAGAAACTGAGAGCTGGGAAAAAAAAAAAACTTAGGGGGTTGGAAATGGTAATTTCCCTTTGATGTGCCCATATCTAGATCTAGGCTGCAGTCAGATTTCTAGATTTGTGTTCCCCTGACATTAGGATGGCCCACGGAGAAGAGACTCTCCTAGGGTCATGGAGGGGGTTTCTGTTGAGGCGGGAGAGAGTGTTCACAGTCTGTACCCTGCACTGGCCTACACTAGACACACAATGGAGGGATGGAGAGATGAACAGGTGTGGGAGGACAGGGCATTATAAGCACCAGAAATAGTCACCCTAGGAAGTCTGTGGGCTTATTTTCATTTGGATGTTACAAAGTACAATTTCTGTCATTGATAGCAGAAGTGCATCCCTTGATAAATGTTAGGCACATTACGAACTGAAAGCAATTAATGATCATCTTATCACAGCTCAGGTTACTTACTCAAGTACTACCACAGTTAGGATGCCCTGGTTATAGGCCTCAGTCAGGAAGAAATTTAGGACTCAGTGACAAGGTGCTGCTTGAATGTCTATTGAATGTCCCCTTCCCTTCCTCTTCCTCTTCTTCTTCCTCTTCCTCCTCCTTCACCTCCTATCCCTTCCCTTCTTTTCCCTCCTTTCCTTCCTTCCTTCCTCTTCCTCCTCCTTGTTCTCCTTCACCTCCTATTTCTCCTCCTCCTCTTTCTCCTCTTCTTCTCTATGTGTGTATATGGTACTAGGGTCAAACTCAAGAGTCTCATTCTTACTAGACAGGTGCTCTACCACTTGAGCCATACCCCCTGCTATTTTTGCTCTAGACTTTTTAGTTTTTTTTTAATGTCTTAGGTTAATGTTGATGGCCTCGGTAGCCTGAACTGTGGTCCTCATATTTATGCTTCCTATTGAGATGACTGGTGTGTGGCACTGCATTCAGCCTTTTATTAGTTGAGATAAGAGTCTTTTGAACTTTTTTTTGCCAGAGCTTATCTTGAACCAAGATCCTCATAATCTCTGCCTCCTGGCTACTTGGATTTCAGCTGTGTGCCACCACAGTTGGCTTCTCTTTTTTTCTGTTAGATTTTGCTTAATTTGTTTGAAAATACTGAAAGATTTAAGATCAAAGACTAAATATGGAGAAGGTTTCAAATTCAAAACTAGCATCCATTTTTGTTAATCACCTGTTGGTTTGGGAGACTTGGCCAGATTAGAGGGATTCACACTAGAGTGTAGTGACTGATGAGATTATAGGACTCTCAGATCAGATAGGATCAGACTGTAGGAGGCAGAACAGAGTACCTGCAGCATCACACACACACAGTCCCCACATTCTTCACGTGTTCATAGAGACCTTCACCCTTTCACGTCAAAAAAGAGAAGAAAAATACCAATAATAAACCCGTGCCAAGATAGGCCATTCATGTACTAAACATTGCTCTTTAAATATTATATATTATAAAATGTAATTACATATAATTATAATTGCATAGTAATTATCTTCTTTGAACAGGCATAGTTTATTAATATGCTTATATTTATCAAAATTGTAGCTTGCTGCCGTAATACCACCTTTTCCTCAAATAGCTGGGACTGTAATCCCTCAGAGGAGGAAGTGCTGGTGGAGACTCTTGCTTACTTTACCACATTATGAAGCCGGTCTGGTCTGGCCTAGCCTTGTCTTCACCATGCCTGGCAGTATTTATACTCTAGTAGGTTGTATTATTTAGGGAACTTGTCTCTTACATTGTATGAAATGAAATTTCCTGACAATATACCAAGGTGCTATTTGGTATTTTAGCTGGAAGGGATCCCCCCAAAAATGTGGTCTGGTCTTCCTTGAACAAGTGAGGAGCAGGAGCTGATAGATGTCCATTGATGACCACAGGGTCTCTCGGAGAGCCATGGTCACATGATGCCCACTGGGTCCCCTGATACGCACTAATGCTCGTGCCTTTGCCATTCTGTTCCACACATGGAAGCGTTAACTAATTGTCCTTCTATTAGATATGTTCCCTGAGACCGCAGAGCAGCCTCTCATAGCTACATAGCTTCTCTCATAGCTTCATGAGATTTTTTTCAAGAAGGAAAAATGTAGCTAATTAGTGGCAATGTAGTTTTCCCTTTTAAAAATCAAACTAATTTTCAGACAGGCACAGCAGTCATTTAGGGAGGAAATAGAATGTTTGTTCAGTGGTAAAATTTTCAGCAAGCCCTACTCTCAGAACACTAAATAAAGAATATACAACTTTTGACCAGTATAGAAAGAATCGAGGATGCTACACTGGACAAAGAGAACCAAAGAAAAGTAGAGAACTAAAACAAGAGGGACACACCAGTTCTGCTTGCATCTCCTTGATTTTCTCAAGCTTTGGCTTGGATTGTCGAGGGAATCAGAGGGTAGCTGCTTGGGTTGTGCAGGAAATCCCTGCCTGTCTGTCATCCCTTCATTCCAGTCAAAGCAGATGAACCTAAAGGCTGTTGCTTGTGGGCATGTGGCCAGGGCAAATGGTAGGAGATAATCTTCTGTCGCAGATAGAGCTGCGGCTGTTATAAATGTACAGGCAGTTGTTGCGGTTCTATTTTCTCTTGCACGTTCTTTTTACACTCAGAGCAGAAAACAAAAATGTATACAGATTGAATTTTTAAAGCGTATAGAAGATAAAGGCAGAGTTAAAAATGCATTCATGCCTGAATTCCTAGCTACTCATGAAGCCAAGATCTGAGCGTCAAGGTTCAAAGCAGGAAAGTCCATGAGAGTCTTACCTTCAGCTTATAAAGCCAGAAGTGAAGGTATGGTCCAAGTGGTTGATCACCAGCCTCAAGTGGAGAAAGCTAAGGGATTGTGTCTGGGCGCTGAGTTCAAGCCCCAGTAGTCTGCGCTTGCTCTCTCTCTCTCTCTCTCTCTCGTTCTCTCTCTCTCTCTCGCTCGCTCTTGCTCTCGCTCTCTCTCTCTCTGTCTTTCTCATGCACACACATTTATGTATCATTTATTATTTATGTATTTGACGATACATCTTGAGTTCTGCAGGGGGGGGGACGGGGGAGACTCCCATATAATACCAGAGTCCTTTACACCGCAGCGGGCCTCCCATGCCTGACGGGATGCTGGGTGTTTCACAGGGCACTGCTCCCTCTAGGAGAAGTGGAGTTACACTCCTGTGGGACTCGTCTTCCATCCAGCACGGCATGAGCAAGTCTGCCTTGTCTTTGTAGAAGATCCTGTCTCTTTATTTTAGTTCATCTATTGGAAAATAGAAAAAAAAACAAACCAGGAGTGTTTAGGATATACCATGAATAAGACTGTGTATATGGTTAACAGCCTTCCATTGAGAGGATTTTTTTTTCCCTCCATCTGTGGATCAAAGCACCAAAGCGGTGGCTGGAGCTGTATCAGAGGCCAAGGTCACACAGTGACAGCAGCTGCCTTGGCTGCCTTCCACCGTCCCAGGCTGCACCTTGGACCAGTTAGCCATGCCGCGTGTGCGTGACTCAGGCCCACGGTGGCCCGGGCACGGTCTGGCATTTGCATCTGCTCCAAGCACGTGTCCTTTGGACGGAGTCGTGGCACTGTCTTCCCCTGGAGCGGTGACCTTTTTCTTCCAGCCACACCTTTTTAACCATGGTACCCACCTTCAGAGGTCCCTAGCCTGTCCTTCATCTCTCCTCTGTGGGTTGGAAGTCTTGAAACGAAAGGGGAGGGGATGGAAGGGATTGTCTCCAAGGTACGGCTGGAGTGAGGGGAGGGAACCCGGCCTGAGAAACCTACAAGAGAAATGGAAGGATGACCCAGCCATCCACCAAGTGTTGGAAATGCTGGCACCAGCCTCCCTCCTCCCAGAGACGCCATGCAGGAAGATGCAGTGGACACCAATGACAAGGCCCCTCCTCCCAGGGACGTGGCACTGTGCAGCTTTCCCCCATACACGGGCATGTTGTCCTCTCCCCTCCCTGAGCCTCCGTCGGCCCCCACAGCATTCATTGCTCCCCTCCTCTCAGTCAGCCAGCAGGACACCCATGTGCAGGGTCTCTCCCTTCCCATGCTTGGGAGGGCATGGTTCTTTTATGATAGGGGTAGCCTCTTCTGTTTCTTCATTCTAAATGTGTTTCCCCCATCCTGGGCCAATCACGTCTTCCAGCCAACCACATTCAGCTGAAAAGAGCAGGTGTGTCTGGTCCCCTGGATGGCTGATGCCCCGATGTGGCAGATGATAGACTGACATCACCTCGTGTTTGCCCTTTCCCTGAGTGTCCTGTCCCTGAGTGTTGGTCTGGACTTCTCTGTGACCTGTGAAAATGCAAATGCCGTAACTAACATGCTTTGTTTTACTCCCACCTAGCTGCCACAAACTCCGGAATCTGAGAACTCCACCGAGGTGTGTCACTCACCTATATTTGTAGCGCTAGCAAATATGGGTGCTTCTTGCTTGTTCTGGTTGAGTCTGAGTTGCTGTGACGAGATGTGTGTCCCCGTGGTAGGCCTGGGAGGGAGGTCTCTACTTGGCTGGGAACTGATCATTGCTGTACTGGGTGTGGCTTTGGAGTAGGGAAAAAAATTTCCCCGAGACAGCTAAGCCAAGCATCCTCCATCAGAGAGGGCGTGTCTCCGTTCTTCACACAGAACTGTCTGGAGTCTTGAAATGTTCCATTGAGAAATCCTGGAATGGCCAACAGCTTTTGGTTGTTGTACAGAATTTGATGTTGGATCCTGTGGAAAGATGATATTCACTTACAGTTTTTGAGTCGAAAGCACTAGGAAAGTTGTAGTTTTACAAGGTGTTCTCTCTGGGCTGCCCTTCCTGCCACTAACTCTGGTTAACTAGAATTGATGCAAGTGTGTGAAGAGCAAAGAGAAGCTTTGGGGTGGAGGGAGGTCATATTTCTAGGTGTCAGAATTTATTCCCCAAAACCGTTCTTTAAAAAAAAAACAACCCACAGGAGTTTCAGCTAGAATGAAATGTACTTTACGTGGAAGCAGTCTATGGGAGATTTTAAGAATGCAACATAAATGATGGAATGGCTAAGTTACAGTGTGGGCGTTTCCCAGTGATCAGTCTGTCATATTCTAATCAGAGCCCTGCACCCATGGCTTTGATTACAATAGTTACCTACTGGTGGGCTGGGGAAAGCGGTTGGTCCCATGTATTTGTCATCCCGGAACCACGTGCATCCGTGTTCTTCCGCATGCGCTATGTAATAATGCATGAATGAACCAGGTGGACCTTGCTTTTTACAGACCCCTGCAGAGTTAAGCCAAACTTCCAGTCATAATCTTTGCCAAAACAAAAACACAACCCAGTGTTGGCCCCCAAATCACCTATCATACGTTTTCAACAATGCAGTAAGGTTGGGGGTTTGGAACACTGAACTTGTTAAGCAGAGTCTAAAGTAATGGACCATTCACGTCTGGGATAAAATGTGGATAAGCTGTTCTTTTGTGTAACCCTGGCTGTCCATGAGCTTGCGATGTGTTTTGTTTGTGGCTGATGTTGAAGAGCGGGTAGTGTCTCCTTAGTGTGGTACTTAAAATGGAATTTCTGCATGCTTAGCAGGAGCTTGAATCAAGTCCACCCCTGAGGCAACTGGAAGACCATAAAAGGGTACGTAGTCGTGAGTCTTGTGTGTTGGGAACTAACGACCGTCAACCATATACCCTGCCCTCCGCCGACACCGTGATTCAAAGACCACTTTGGTGGTTGTGGGTATTGTTCAAACCGTAGCTTGCTCAGGACCAATCACAGCCTCTTATTTAAACAAAAGGAGCTGGTACTTCTCTGCATGAGCTCCCTGAGGAGAGCACGGTGCCTAGCCAGGTGCCAAACGATGGCGAAGTAACTTTTCGTGTTCCCTGCTTCCCGCCGTAGCTTTCTACTCAGGTCAAGTCTAAAAATGTTTCGTTTTGTAAGAGTTGATGATCACTATAGATAAATTAAAAAAATACAGTGGAAGCAGTTCACAGTGACACGACCAGCTATCAAAGCTGCTAACTTGTTCACATATCCTTCAATACTTTTTTTTTTAATAACCCACGGGAGCACGTGTCCCAAAAGCGCATGCTGCCAAGGGATTGTTGTAAGTGTACAACTTCCACACCCTCTGTTGTCATTCAGTGTTCTGTCTGAGCTTTTCTTTTTTAAAAGCCACCAGCTGTTCAGAGTTCCTCAAATTAACAAGGGGTTTGTAATATTTTCCTTTGACAAGGAAATTGGACAAATATGGGCATCCTTGAATAGAATCATAGAAAGGGAAGTAAGTCCTGAGTCAAAGGGGAGACTCTTCATTATGGTGCCAACTACGCATTGCCAAACTGTTTCTAGACAATTGTCTGTAAATAAATAGATACAGACGTATAGCTAGAGCTATCTTCATGCCTGTGCTGGCGTGGTACCCGTTTTGTCCGGAAGATGAGCAGATGCCGCGCTCTCAGAGCCCATCGAGATGCTGCAGCTGTTCCACAGGTTCACATAGACATTTTCTAAAATTATTTTCTTCCAAAGATGCCGTTCAGAGAGGTTACAGTTACATCAGTAAGGTAATGAGTACATTTCTTGTCGGGCATTGTTACCCCTGCCTTTGTTTTTCTCCCACTTTCTCTTCCCTCCCCCATTCCCCCCACATAGCCATTTTTTATGAATGCTTCCCCTTGCCCAGTGGTGTGGCCTGCATCCTGTCTTCACCAAAGTCCTGGGGTTAGCAGGTGAACAGTAACTGTGAAGCCTGCCGCAGTGGAGCGTGGTCATCCAGGTCCGGAGTGACAGCCCGATGCCCTGTATTCCACTCACACGCCTCAGCCTCCATCCCGTCTCCTCATAGAGCAGGGTTTTTTTTCCTGTTCTCTTGCTCTGGTGGAGGAATAAACTTGATGGTTTCTCAGACAGTGACTAGGGATGTTCGCACCTGGGCGGAACTCCGAGCACAGTGCTGCTGTCCCCCATGTCTAGCATCTCGTGTCTCACACACAGCACGTTGACCAAGGGCACGTTGCATTCCTGCGGGCCCCCTCTCTGCCTGCCTCCTAGCCGGATCTGGCAAAGGCACTCGGCCAGCCCCCACGCTCCCAAGCTCCCAAGGAACCCAGTACTGAAAAGTCTTTGGAGTTAGAAATAGGCACAAGTCTCTTTTTGCCAGTTAGTAGCTGTGTGATTGGGGTAAGTTACTGAACCGCTCTGTGCCTCAGTTTCTCCTGCTGTAAAAGTAGGGGTAGCATCCGTCTTCACACTGAGGGATGTCCACAAAGCACTGAGCATGATGACAGGAATCTGATTAGTAGTCACCTGGCAGTTTGAAATGCTCAGGTGATTTTGTAGGCCGCAGGAGCAGGAAAAGGGAGGTATTTAAAGTTAAGATGCTATTTCAGAGCTGACTAAGGTAGGGGAGACTCACTGCCTGAGCCAGATCTTGCCTAAAGCACATGATCTGTAAGTGACTGGAAGCTGGGGAAAAGAAAAGGTCACTTCCCCCTCTCCCTTGTGTGCTGATGACAACATTACCCCTTCTGTCCCTTGCTCAACACATGCCTGCATTCTCACACACACACTTCTGCCCTGAGCCGAGCTGAGAGAGTTAATTGGAACCAATGGAAATCTTTAGCCAGGAGGCAAGGTGGGAGCTCACTTTCTCTGGTCCCTGTCACTCACCTACCAATTGTCACTGTCTGAATGTGACATCTATTAATAATGAAACTTTATTTGACTTTTCCTTTTCTCAGTCTTAGACAACAATAGGTTTTGAGTCTCTTACGAAAGAGACAGGTGTCTTACAGTTGTTTACATATTGTAAGTGTAAACTGCTTGCGGGGAGGGGCAGAGGTTGGTGATAAGGTGGCTTTATTTTTAAAAATTAAAACAAAACAAAAGGCCTGGCCAAATGTAAAAGCTGAGACTTTGACAAGTGACATTATTTAGGAAGTCGTTTTTTTCCCTTTCTCTGCAATCAGATTTCTCAGCCTGGTACATTGTGAACAGCTTAGTGTTGTTGAGTAATTTATGTCAAGATGATTAGGAAGGCTTTTCTCTGCAGATTTTAATTTTTCTTAAATTAAACTAGTGCTTAAAAAAAAACAGAATTTTCCTTGAACCCGATTTTTCATACTAGGGATTTACATAACTTCTCAATAATGCCTATTCATTTCCTCTTCCTGTCCCCTTCCACCTAAAATTCTTGGTCTTTATTCTTCAAAATAACCAGGAAACTCATTTGTTATTTAAGAAAACCCCAAACAAATCTCACTTGCTATGAGTTGTTGTTGTTATTGTTTTCCATCTTAAAAATTTTTGGGAGGGTGGCAGAGCAAGCAGTGCCCCAAACCACATTAGTGAGAGAGGGGGAAAGTCGGTCTCCTGTAATGAGCACATTTCATGATATTCTCTTATGGGGGAAAATGTACCATTTGATGCATCTGTTGCCATAGTAACTGCTGGGTTTTTGTGGTTTGTTTCTTCCCTCCCCTGCCCCCCCCCCCAGTTGAAGGAGAGGCAGAATGGTGATTTGTGATTTTCCTGTATCTTCAGCTGCTTTAATGTGAGCTTCCTGTTTGGGGTGGGAGGTTCCCAGTGCTGCTTTGGTTACCTCCTGCCTGCTGATTGCTCACTGACCAGGGAGGGGTCTCGCTGTTTACCCTCAAAACCACTAGAAGGAGAAAGAACAGCCGCCAGCCGGAGGTGAAATGTCCAGGAGGCGCGCTTGCTTGTTGTCTGGTTCACCACAGACTCCTTTGACTTGGTCCATTTAGCCCCATGGTCTGCAGCCTCGGTGGCTGCCTGGGGTACCTGCTCACGTGGATAACAGTTTGCATCGGGCCTCCTGCCTCTCACACAAACCACACCCAGTCCCCGGCTCAGGAGCGTTTGCTCCTAGCCATCTCTCCTGTCTGCATTCTTACTCAAACTAAATCAAATAGATGCAACGTGATATCTGAAAAGGGAAATCACGTTTAATCTACACTATTCCACACAGAGATAACTTATCCTTACCTGGTTTTGTTGTCACTTGTCTTTCTTAACTGCACCTTTAAATTAAAGTCAGCCATCTAAGACCCCAGTGTCCCAGGGACTGCTTTGGAGAATGGTAATGTGTTCGTACCGAGCCCGGGCCTCACTGGTCAAACCCATCATGGGGTTTTCTAAGCCATGAATGAACCTTGTACTGAAACTTTCCCTTACCAACAAGCAGTTCATTTGAAAAAGAAGAAGGAAAAGAAAAACACTTAAAATACTATATGTAACTTTCTTCTTGCGATTTTGAATTCCCGGTTGGGCTAGGTGGGAAATGGGTTTCATGAGCTGAGGATAGGCGTGCTCTCCTGACAGTGCTGGAGACATGTGCGGGTGGAATGCAAAAGGGAAAATGGATTTGGTTTTCATTCTCTGCACATGTGTTTAAGTCTTCGTTATTTTCCCTTCTCACCTGTTTGCCTCATTCTATTTTTGTCCCTGGGCATTCTGTGGTTAGCATCATGAATTAATGAAGGAGATAAACCTGGCAGTGTAGCCCTGCGACTTTAAATGATTTGGGCAATTGACAGGATTCCAGAGTTTTCTAGTCTTTTCCTTTCTCTCCCGGTTCCTTCCCTTCCTCGGTCTCTCAGGACCTCCCTCCCTCTCCGCCTGTCCCCTCCCCCCCCCCAACTTGTTTTGCAAAAACCTCACCGAAATCTCCAGACATATTTATTCTCAGAGTTTATTAACAAATCACTTTTAAGTTCCACGGAGTCAAGTTGCTGGGCTCTTCAGAAGAACTCTCGAGTGTCTATTTTAGAGACCTGCTAGATTTCAACACCTCTGTCTGCTAGACTTCTCACTTCCTTTCTCTCCATGATGCACCGGAGGAACTCCGTGCCTTGTCCCTAGAACAAACAAACAGCAGAAGTTTCAGGGGAAATTCATCAAGACTGTACTTTTAGAAATGCACAGATTAGAAAGGGATCCGAGAGTCCTTTGGGAGCCTGGTGGAAATGTGATAGAGGAAGAAATCATATTTCTGTGTGCTGGCTTGCCAATACATCTCTTAAAACAGCACACAAATCACTTTCTTGGTTAGAATTATAAGAAAGGGGTACTGCGTCCTCTATCCAGGATTGCTTTTTATGTATATAGGTTTTAATTTTTTCATTCTTCCAAAGTTGATGGACGTACAGAGGGAGTTAGAAGCCCTGTTCAAAACAGCTTCACCCACTAGCATCGCATGCCCTTTCTGTCTCATTGACACCGCCTACTCCTTCACCCATAGTATTTGAAGAGCAGATTCCAGGCATGATGTCATTTCATCCATGATTCTTACTTCCGATTAACGTATTTGATATCTTCCACTGATTTTATTTCCTGGAGCACTATTTTACCATTGGCTCATGGATCATCTTTGTAAGAAAGGCTTAATTTTTGACTTACTGTTTCATTATATCCACATACCTTCTCTTAGGCTGATATATTGATCTTTTGGGGACCTTGGGAATAAATCCAAGTGCTTAGAGTAACAATTTTAAACTGTCATGTGGAAGCTGGCCTGTAAACTCCTCAGATTATCCAGTCTATCAGCTTAGCCCAAAGAGCCTTTTGTTTTTGTTATTACTTTTTAGAGTTCCCGCTTCAGAGAGTGAATATTCTAGATTGCCACCATTAAACAAACAAAAAACCATGATCTGTTTTCCTGAGAAAATATTAAAGTTGACTTTAGAGTTTCAAAATGCTTTTTTTTTTAATCACTGAGTTTTGTCTTGTTTTGTTTTTTTCCACTGAGCACTGAATGAAATGGAACCAATTTGTACCTGAATATTCCCAGGTTTCTTTCGTTTAATATTGGCGGCTTCGTTGTGTTAAATTCAGAACCTGATTTCATTATCCTGTTTGAATTAAGGGTGAGGCGCTCAGACAAATTCTGGTCAACCGTTACTATGGAAACATCAGACCTTCGGGAAGACGAGAGAGCCTTACCAGCCTTGGCAATGGCCCCCTGTCACCAGGAGGACCCAGCAAGCCTGGGGGAGGAGGTAGGCTGTGTGCTGCGCATGAGCTTCGAGTGTGAATTGGGCAGTCACGTGAGAGCTGCGTGCTTCCGGGTGGCTGGAACTTAGATTATGTGTGTTGCAAGTATGTGTCCTTTTTTAGCAACTTGTTTTCTTTGGTCTACTATCAAACTGATGTCTAAACACATTTCCTTGCAAAACAGGAATTTCCCCACAACTCTATTGTGGCTAAGTCTTTCTGCCCCTCTTCTCCATGCAGAAACTCTCTTGGTGATAGCTGACTAATTTCAAGGAACTGGATTTTATTGCACATTTCTCTGTGGTCATTAGGACTCCGGTTTCCCATAGAATGATGAGGTGAGGGTATTGGCAGCCAGGATGGTGAAAGCTATCATTTATGATGATCTGCTGAGCACCAAAGGGCTTATTAGCATTCTTTGCCTCATTTGGTCTTCCAGGACCCATTGTCATGATTGGTAGGTAGACATTGCCGTTATCTGAGCTTACCAGACGGGTGGGAACTTGGAGTGACTGCTTTATAACCGGAGTCATTTAATTAGAATACCTGTGCTCTGTGCATCTCCAAAAAAAAAAAAGGCAATCATATGTAGAAGTTCTTAAATGTTCATCCTTAAAGGTGTTCCAAATTATTTTAGACACAATGACAGGCGATAGTTGCAAAACCATTGGACTCCGTGGAGGATCTTCCCACGTTGGTTCAGTATTGAAGCACAGTGGCAGTTGTCTGATGCAGGGGCCGCAGGAACACCCTCAGCATTTGAACTGAGCATGTTAGAAGAGGACTGATAGTTGTTTACCTTGTGAAATGGATCAGCCCGTTTCTCTGTGTGCTGTGGTATGTCAGTGAATGCCACTGACAGTACAAGGTAGTTCTTACATAGTAACTTAACATCCTACTAACTGGCATGGTACTCTCCTTCAGCATATTCATCTCAGCTGAACATCTCTAAACGTGAGGACTTTTTTTTTTTTCATTTTCCCTAACGCGAGCTCTTGGCTTTGTACCAAGAGTAAATATTTATTGACTGAATATTTGTTCAATCAATGAATGAAGAAATGAATGGACAAATGAATCATGTGGAAGTGAGGCAATAGGTTTACTAGAGGATAGGTTTACTAGTTCTTGATCATTCTGCTCAGGTCATTGCATTTTACTATAAGAGAAAGTCTTGGCTGGGTGGCTATGGATCACTTAGTGAATGTGCCCAAGTTTTTACCACCATCTCTTGGTACTTACAGGCCAGGAAGTCGTGGACATGCGTCTTTATGTCTTGATGCTAATTCACTTCACTCTCCTTGTAGTTTCTTTTGTTTATTTTTGTGCTGGTGCTCAAGGTCTAGGCGCCGTCCCTGAGCCTTTTTGGCTCAAGGCTAGCACTCTACCACTTGAGCCACAGCTCCATTTCCAATTGTTTTGGTAGTTCATTAGAGATAAGAGGCTCACAAACTTTTCCTGCCTGGGCAGGCTTTGAACTCTAATCCTCAGATCTCAGCCACCTGAGTAGGCAGGATCACAGGCATGAGCCACCAGCACCCAAATTCTTGTGGGTTTTTAGAGGGTTGAAAGAGTTAATACAGATAAAGCGTTTAGTGCATAAAGTGTTGGTGTGTAGTGAGTATGCAAAAATGCTGGTTTCCATCATGCTCCGTATTAGAACAGCGCTCTGTGTTCCTAGGTGGAGGCTCTGGATCCGGCTCTATGAGTAGAGGTGAGATGAGCCTGGCAGAGGTTCAGTGCCACCTCGACAAAGAAGGGGCCTCCAACCTGGTGATAGACCTCATCATGAATGCGTCCAGCGACCGCGTGTTCCACGAGAGCATCCTCCTGGCCATCGCCCTGCTGGAGGGAGGCAACACCACCATCCAGGTAGGAATGCGGCTGGGCAGCCGGAGCGGCGTCTCTGTTCTCGGACCCTGATCTCCAGGAGGGGCGAGGACTTGTGTGAGAGAAGGCTCGCAGTAATGCCTCCTTGCCATGATGACTCTGCCATCTCGGACACGGCTCCCAAACACGAGTTGTGGGGTTTTTTTGTTTGTTTGTTTTTTGGTCGGTCGTGGGGCTTGAACTCTGGGCTTGGTCGCTGTCCCTTTGGCTCAAGGCTAGGGCTCTATCACTTGAGCCACAGTACCACTTCCAGCTTTTTTCTGCTTATGTGGTGCTGAGGAATCAAACCCAGGGCCTCATGCATGCAAGGCAAGCACTCCACCTCTGAGCCACCTTCCTAGCCCCTGTTTATAGTTTTTATCCAAAAATATGGAGGATCTCATCATCAGATGAGCAGAAGAGACTTGGATTGTGTGTGGTACTTAGAAGATTTAATGTGTGTGTGTGTGTGTGTGTGTGTGTGTGCGTGCGCGCGTGCGTGTGTGTGTGTGCACGCATGCTAGTCTTGAGGCTTGAACCCAGGGCCTGGGTGCTGTCTTTAAGCTTTGATGCTCAAGGCTAGTGCTCTACCACTTGAGCCAGAGCTCTGCTTCCAGCTTTTGGTGGTTAATTAAATAGGAGTCTTATGGACATTATTGCATAGGATTGAATCCTTAGATCTCACTCTCTTGAGTAGCTAGGATTACAGGCTTGAACCACCAACAGAAGATTTAAGTTTTGTAACTGTAGAATCTCAACTATCATTAACTACCTTTTATAAATAATTATATATAAATAATAAAACTTGAAAGAATTCACTTTTTTTTTTAAGGTAAGAGTCTTACTATGTTGCCCAGACTGGCCCTGACCTCTGCTCTTAAACTATCCTTCTGGCTGGGAAGGTGACTCAGTGGTAGAGCACTTGCCTTGCATGCTTGAGGCCCTGGGTTCGATTTCTCAGCACCACATAAGCAAAAAGAAAAAAGCCGGAAGTGGCGCTGTGGCTCAAGTGGTAGAGCACTAGCCTTGAGCTGAAGAGCTGAGGACAGCGCCCAGGCCCAGAGTTCAGGCCCCACGACCAGACCCAAAAAACAAAAAAAAAAAAACTATCCTTCTGGCTCAGCTTTCTGAGTAGTTGGGAGACTTACAAGCTTACACCACTGCGTTAGATTAGCAATACCATTTAAAATGATTTCTTTAAAGATTTGTTTTTTAACCATCTCTATGCACCCTTCCATCTTGGTTAGCTCACTTAATGAGGTTTTCTGGGTGAGGGAGGGCTGTCTGTGAGTACGTGTACATGCATGCATTTCCATCAAATAAAATTCACAGAACAGGCTCTTTACCATTATGTGCCTATTTGAGCTGACATATTCTTGGCCTTGAAGTGCAGAGTTGGGATCGCTGAAGGCTTTGGTTCTTTGTGAAGCATCACAGAAGGGCGTTGCTTCCTGTGGGTAGATGCCACCTGAGCCAGGACACCTGGCTTGGCACATGGAGCACAGGTTGCATTTCAGCCACCACTCACTCTCTTCAGCCGGGTTCCCTGTGTCTTGCACATCTGGCAGCGGTGCTCTTTCTTCTCACCCTTCGGTCTCCACTTACCCAGTGCTCACACTTCTGAAGATCACGAGTATGCATCACAGTTAACTGCGGACTCTGACTCTGACTTAGCTATATTGTGCCAATGGCAAAGACTACTACTTGTCTGCTGGTCGTGGGCACACGAGCCGTCACAGGTTGGGACTGTAGTTGGGTGTTGTCTGATTGTGAAAGTATCTGGATCCTGTGGTCCTGTACACACACACACACACACACACACACACACACTCACTCACTCACACTCCCTCATCTGTGCTTCTGATGGATGTCTGGGCTCAGGAACCATTGCTAAAATGCTGCTTGTCTTTCAACTGCATGTTTTCCTGTGACTACATCAGCTGATCTGAATAGAGTGCTTTTTGTGGGCCTGCTGCTTTACTAGGGAGCCCCCAGGGCAGGGAGGTTCTAGGCGAGTAAGTCCATGGGAATGTTCTCCAGGCAAGTGTGGAAAATGAGTGCAGTCAGTCTGGTGTGTATGCACTGAATCGCTGATCACCTCTTCTGTTTTCATATTAATTCCAGTGCCTTTTAAATAAATAAAATGGTATTGATAGCAGGATGTTATTTTTTTTTTTTGGCTGCTGGCCACGTAAGAAACTAAGTCATTCTGTCCTTCTTGTTGTTGGCGTTGTGTTTTTTTTCTTTCCTTTGTTTTGTTTTTTAAGCTTTCCTATTTTGAGAAATCCCAAGAACTGAATAGCTGCCAAGTATGCCAGCATACGCATGCGTGTACGGAGGAAGCTGTACCTCAGTAATAATGTTTAGCTGCGGGAGCCACCTATGGGGAAGTAGCTGTGCCACTGTGTGGAGGTAACCAGTACCATGTCCTCTGAAGGATGGGCGTGGGTCGCTCTGGAAGGGAAGACCAGGGCAGGCACAGACGTTGTCCTCACAGACGGGTGAGGCCTCTGAGGCGAGGGGGGTTGCGTGGTGGAGCGCAGGGGCTGATGGGAGTCAGGGTGGTGTGTGGTAGCAGTCCAGCCCTGAGGGGCCTCACAGGTTAAGGTTGTAAAGTGGACAACATAGGACGGATAAACTAGGGGAAGCCAGGTCGAGAGGAGGTAGTCAGGAATCAAACAGTAACTGCCTGTAGTCTTAAACACTGAAGGCCAACCTGGGCTGCCTACCGAGTTCAAGGCCAGCCTGGTTCATTTGCTTCACTGCAAATGAACTCTCTCTCTGCATTCCTCGTACCATCCTGGTGTATGCCTTAAACATGCATAGTTAACTTTACCCTTAAAACAAGTTAACTAGCTGGGCACTGGTGGCTTATGCCTATAATCCTAGCTACTCAGGAAGCTGAGTTCTAAGGTTCATGGTTCAAAGCCAGCTTGGGCAGGAAAGTCTATGAGACTCTCATCTCCAATGAACCACCAGAAAACTGGAAGTGGTGCTGTGGCTCAAGTGGTAGAGCGCTCACCTTGAGTTAAAGAGTTGAGAGACAGTGTCCAGGCCCAGAGTTCAAGCTCCACAACTGACAAAAACAAAACAAAATGTTAACTAGCAGAACTTTAGGGCAGAGGGCGTAAGAGCTTGAACTAATGAGACCATAACTAGAGAGCCCTCGGGGAGACTTGCTTGAACGTGACGGTCACGTTCCACTCACTGTACCCGTGCTTACACACCAAGCCGCACACTTACAGAGGATGTGCCCTGCTGTGTGATAGCTCCATAAGAAGAGAGAAAATGCTGGGCTGGGAAGGTGGCTCAGTGGTAGAGCGCTTGCCTTGCATGCATGAGACCCTGGGTTCGATTCCTCAGCACCACATAAGCAAAAGAAAAAAGCCGGAAGTGGCGCTGTGGCTCAAGTGGTAGAGTGCTAGCCTTGAGCTGAAGAGCTGAGGGACAGCACCCAGGCCCAGAGTTCAGGCCCCACAATGACGAGAGAGAGAGAGAGAGAGAGAGAGAGAGAGAGAGAACGCAAGGGACGAACTGAGGACCATACTGGGACTGAAGGAGAGGGAAAAAGCAGAGGGTTTGGAACAGGTCTGGCCCCTGGGCCCACGAGGACTGGAATGTGGAAGCCAGCTGCCCAGCCCCATTCACCGAAGGCTTCCCGCCCCAGAGATGAGCACATGTCTGAGGCAGGAATACAGAAGGCTGGGGCGGCGGGCGGGGCTGAGCGCCAGGGCCGGGCTGGACGGGGAGCTGGAGCCCGGGGCTCTGGCGAGACTCTGTGTTTGTCACAGCGTGCCCCGATGGGATGGCAAGGCACACAGAAGCTGTTTTTCCCACCGCGTTCTTTATCTTGTACAGTAATTATGAATATTAGTTCCATGTTTTCACACATTTGTGACTCATATGCCTGCATTCCACATGAAATGCCATGAGCTCAGCTGCTCGTGGGGCGGAGCCACTTCCTCTCCAGAGAGCTGGGGTGCTCACGCTGGGGAGGGGGGTCCTGGATGTGGTGGCCTCTGGTCCACCACAGAATGGAAGACCTCCCTCTCCCACCCCCATCTCTTTTGTGACTTCTGAAGGCCATGCCGGAGGCCTGCGGTTCCAGAAGAAACTTCCAGCTCAGAGATGACTTGTGAGATTCCCCTTGGCCCCGAGCTTCTCTTTTCTCTGGAGACAGTGATGCACAATTTGCGTGGTGTCCAGGGCCGATCAAGGACAGGACCCCTGGAGCCCCGGGGGAGGGCGATTCAGAGCTGCATCTCCTGTGGACAAGTTGAATTGCACGTGGTAAATGACTGGCTGGGCGGTGCGCCTGGCCGCAGTGGTGGCCGGCAGCTATGGCCGAGACTCTGTCATCCACGCCACACAGGGCCACTGCGGCTGGAACTCTCTGCCCGCCGCCTCTTCCTGTGCAGCGGGCTACCTCCTCTTACAACGGTATATTGACTATGAGGCAGAGGCAAAACAGCCCTCATGGTTAGCATCCAGTAGCAGGATTCAGTGCTTCATACCTAAGAAATGACACCTGCTTTCCCGTCCAGTTTTGTGTGATACTAGGGAATGTATCCTTGGGCTTCTTTCCTGTGTCTGTCAAGTGTGAGGTATATATATATATATATATATATATATATATACACACACACACACATACATACATACATATACATATGTACATGTCCAAATTAGCCATTTCTGAAATTTGCTCTGACTTATGAATATAATTCCTTCTAGTAATGGTGACTGGAGTAATAAACCATAGTTTATCTATACAGTGGAATACTACAAGGCAGTGAAAAATGGGTAAACTATCAATAAATGCAGTCACTTGGATGTGTATCAAAAGCAATATACTGAGTGAAGTCAGTCACAAATAGTGACATATACTTCATGATTTTATTGATACAATACTTGAAAGAGACAAAAGACTTAATATTCACCAGGACTAGGAGTGAGGGAAGAATTTGGTTATAACACAGTAGTATAAGTGATGAAAGCATTGT